TTGTTGCGTCTTTTTCTGGACGCGATCATTACTTGTAAACTGATGTCGCAGCTAAAATCAGCTGATTGTACGTTTACATAATAATAGCTCTTCAAAATTCTTATTCATTTTGTAATAATAAATATATATTATGCATATATGTAATAATATGTAGATTAATAGATTTTTTGGTTTCCATTTTTCAACATCCTTGCCAATGATGCACGTTACAAATGTGCCACGCCCACTTCACATTGGCGCGCCCTGTTTAATTTTCAAACCGTGGAGAACCCTGATTTTAGTGAGGATACTGCAAGATGTTTAATTTTAACCATTACCAATTTTTCTATTTTAATAATGTGAGGATGAAATTCACTAGATTACTAATAACATTTTTGCTGTCACAACATAGTTGTCAGTAAGTGAGCTAAAGATGGCACTCCAGAACACAGTAATGCCAGTGATTAGAGGAACTATGCTACTAAAATATCTTTAAAATTGAGAGAATAATCTAGCATTCATGAATGATTAGTACACGTGGTAGTACATTTTCAAGTGAGCAATGAACTGATCACTCTTCTTATAGTGTGCACAAGATATTTACATAAACCTAACCATATGTAAATATCTTGCAACCACTGATAATCATGTGCCTTTTATAACAGTAGGCTATATGCAGAATGCAACTCTACACAATTATAGTGACACTTTGCTCGTATTGAATAAAAACAGAATATATTTACCATTCCTTTGGGTCCTAATGTACTTTTAATAAGATCACCAATGGCAATAGCTCCAACAAATGATGACAGTCGGGCACTTTCACCCTTCTCTTCCTCTGCCTGTCTATTGAAGATATTCATGGGTGCCAGTGACAACGCCTAGAGAAACGGTGGAAAACATGTAATCATGACATCGTTGTTAAAATGCTGAGAATGTACAAAAGGCAATAAGGTGCCAATCACTGTCGCAGAGCAACTACCGACATAATCCGTTTTATAAAATGTTTTTTTTTCCTGGAAGACAATTATAATTAAGGATTGTGGTCGTTATATATGTAAAAGCTGTGCTCTCGCTGTCGCTCGCAAATGTCGTAAATTACGAAATTTTGACAAAATTTACGAACAAAATAAATATCTATTAGTAGGATTTACGAACACATTTTGTACAAAATACCCTCGCAAATCGCCCTCATTTAATTGTCAAGACTCGACTGTGATCATCACGCGTGTTACGGTTTGAGTGATTGCCATTTTAAAGTTAAACAACGTCCCGTTACTTCTAAGATTGCAACAATTGTTACATGGTGATCGCGATCAACACGGAACTGCCACTGAATGTATTTTTCCACTCTAAAGTTATTTTGGTGTCATCGCACATGCGTAGTTTAGTCGACATGTGTTTCAAGATACC